TTTTTTTTTTTTTTTTTTTTTTTGAAAAGCGACTTTAGGGGAGTGGTTATATTATGGTTTGGGGTATGTTAATCAATACTTAACCATTTTTTTTTATATATAAAAATCAACTTAAAAAAATGTAAAAAAAAAAAATATGATAAAAATGACACAATACTTTACTATTTTATTTTAAATTTTTAACTTACCAAGTTACTTCTAGTTGTAATCTACGAATAAAAAATCACAGAGCACAGCTACTAAGTACTTATAATCACAGAGCACAGTTACTAAGTACTTATAATCACAGAGCACAGTTACTAAGTACTTATAATCACAGAGCACAGTTACTAAGTACTTTTAATCATTGAGCATAGTTACTAAGTACTTATAATCACAGAGCACAGTTACTAAGTACATATAATCACAGAGCATAGTTACTAAGTACTTATAATTACAGAGCACAGTTACTAAGTATTTATAATCACAGAGCACAGTTACTAAGTACTTATAATCACAGAGCACAGTTACTAAGTACTTTTAATCATTGAGCATAGTTACTAAGTACTTATAATCACAGAGCACAGTTACTAAGTACTTATAATGATAGAGCACAGTTACTAAATACTTATAATCACAGAGCACAATTACTAAGTATTTAAACCATTGAGCACATTTACTAAATTGGTGTTTGCTTAGTATTAGTAGAAAAGTTTTTTAAAAATTTTGAAATACTAAAGAATTGTAACTTTTTTTGAATTTTTCTTGCAGTTGTATACTACAATTGCTTTTGTTTTACAGCGAATTATAAACAAAATAAAACATTGTGTTATGGAGAGTTTAAAATAAAACATTGTGTTATGGAGAGTTTAAAATAAAACATTGTGTTATGGAGAGTTTAAAATAAAACATTGTATTATAGAGAGTTTAAAATAAAGCATTATGTTATGGAGAGTTTAAAATAACACATTGTGTTATGGAGAGTTTAAAATAAAACATTGTGTTATGGAGAGTTTAAAATAAAACATTGTATTATAGAGAGTTTAAAATAAAGCATTGTGTTATGGAGAGTTTAAAATAACACATTGTGTTATGGAGAGTTTAAAATAAAACATTGTGTTATGAAGAAGAGTTTAAAATAAAACATTGTGTTATGGAGAGTTTAAAATAAAACATTGGAGATAGAGAGAGTTTAAAATAAAACAAACTAGAAGTTCCTCTACAACTATTTTGATTTAATACCTTAAAATAGTAGAAAATGAGATGTACTACAAAAAGGTCTATTTTCAAAATAAAATTGCTTCTTTCAGGCTGTCTTGATGTGCAAGTCTTCATTTTCTAATCAGTAGAAAAACAATTTAAGTATTTAAAAAAAACAGCTTTATTAAAGTTTAAATTTTATATTTTTTGTAGGAAATGTCATCTAGAAAAGCATTTACAAAGAAATATCGATGGTATAAATAGACTTGGTACAAAAACATCGGTCTCATTAAACTAAATTGTCTATTAAAACTGTTGTATGAGGTTGTAACAATTGGTTACAAGCTCATACATCAATGAAGTTCTAACTAAGTGTTTTTCCAGTCCTTTAAAAGAAAAAATTGAGCCTATAAGGTAAAAATTGAGTTTGGCTTAGGAATAAAAAATAATTTTATTTGCAATAATATTTTATCTTGGTTTAGCTACTGAACCAAATTTTGATAATATCAATAATATACCTAACAAAAAGAAGTAGATCTGATGAATTTTGCAAGTAAGATATTAAATATTACAAGTATGATAATTTTGCGGTAAGATTCTATAAATGAAAAGTTACTTCAAGACCAAGAAGACCAAACTATTTTAATTTATCTTTTGTATTATATATATATTGTATATATATATTGTTCCCCCTCAAACTGAGGAGGGTTTAAACTTTATATGGTCATAATTTTTGAATGCTTAGAGATAATACTACAAAACCTAAAATTCATCAATGAAGTCTAGTTTAGAATAATACAAAAATTATTTTATCAAACTGTTGCCCATCACTTTTGAGGCGGGTGATTTTGGAAATGAAATTAACGTTCTTTTTTGTTTTGCACAGTATCATTATTTGACTTAAGTATAAACATACAAATGTTTCGAGTTTGCCCACAGTCTGGAAATTCGAACACCAATAAATCCTTGATCCGTCACTGTATAGGATAGAGTTTCATTTGTCGAATAATTGTAAAGCCAAACGACAATAAAATTTTTCTAGTTTAAATAAATGTAATAGAATTTATAAAAAAATTTTTCTAGTTTAAATCCTCTTGTAATAGAATTTATAAAAAATTTTTGAAAAGATTGTTTGACAGTTATAGCAGTTTTTTAAGCAATTTGTTGACGTACATCACAACTCCACGTCTGTATCTCATGATTGTTATATTAATTTTTATAGTTTTTGGTGATATCTAAGGTTATATAATCCATGAGTTAATTTAGATGCTTTTCTGAGTATATTTAACTTGTCGTTTGTCTTTAAGTAGAAAAGGATTATATCAGATACACAATATTCTAAATATCAGATACACAATATTCTCAACATCAGATACACAATATTCTAAATATGGTCGAACTAGTGGTAAAAATAATCTTTTAAAACAAAATAAATCTAGATAAAAGAAGGGTCTTTTACTAGAAATGACATTCGCATTGCTTTATTTACTTGTATGAAGGTATTTTTGGAGAACAGTTATTTACTATCGATATGTATTATTGATATGTATTTCAAGGTCAGTTTCTGAGTTAGTAGATTTGATGTCGCGTATTATTTTTTTATTATTGGGAAAATCATTAACATAGGGGAACATGGGGTAAGATGACGAATGGGGCATAATATAATAGCTGACTTTAGATGAGAGGGAAGTAGATTATATTTAATAGATTTATTAATGCTTTCTTCTTAAATATTATTTTTGTGACTTATTTCATTGCTACCTCACCAGCTAAAGGTAAGCGAGAAATTTTCATTTAGATTGATTAATCTGAAAGCCATACAAAAAGTATTAGGCTATGATAAATTGATTATATATATTTCCGATTCATTTTAAAGATTGTATTAGCCTGGAGCAAGATGACTGGGGAAAGATGACAGACAAATCGACATCACAACACATGTTTTACTATTAACTATATGAATGTTGTTTTGTTAACTTAAATTTTGTTGACTAAAATGTTGTTTCATACTTAAAAAATAGGCAAAGTTGTTATAAAATAACTTAAAATAATATCGTAAGTACAACTTTTAATACTTTTTTTATAAACAAGAATTTGTTAAATAATATCGTAAATACTATTTGTATTACTTTTTTTATAAACAAGAATTTGTGATGATAGTTTTTGAGGCGTTTATAGCTTCATAGAGTTTTCTTTTTTTATAGTCTTAAATTTGTTAACTCAAATCGTCATCTGAGTTGAGATTTGAGTTAACACCGGTTAATGAGTTTTTCCTCCGCTATTTTTAACTTTTAAAGTGGTTTTTTGATACATCAGTGACGCAGAATGATTTTTTTTTTTTGAGTTAATTTAGGTGTCCCAAGAATTCCTTACGGTTTTATGACGAAAGAGCATTTAATGGAAAGTTCACGCCTCCTTCCCAACCGGTGTCGCAAAATTTGCCCAGAGGTGGGGTTTGAACCACGGATTTTACGTTTCTGAGGCAAGTAAGCTACCACTGCGACACGGCTATTTGTTCGTCGTCTTGCCCCGTGTTCCCCTATGTAATGAATAATAATGCTGAGAGAACAGAACCCTGGGGAGCTCCACTTCTTGAGAAACTCTGCTTCACTTCTCTCCATCTTCATTAAAGTCAGATATTTAAAATTGGTTTTGTTCAAAATAGTATGGAAATCAGACAAATTTTTATCTTAAATTGTTATTAAGTAATTAACGGTTAATTAACTTTAAATAATTGTTTTATTGCGTTTATATTTTTATTTAATTTTAAATAAATGTTTGTTTAATTGAACAAGTTATTACTATCAGTGGCGTCACTGGGGTTGGTGTCACCCAGTGCGTTAAATTCTAGGTGTCACCTCTCTTTCAATAATCATTTTAGACCTTTTCTAAGTAAATCTAAACTATAGACCATATATAATCGTTTATAAAATTTTTATAAAATAAACCAGAAAGTTCATAACGACATAAGAATTTTTTTTTTCAGGTTGACCCTAAAGTTGACGACATTATATACTAATTCTTGTGGAAAATTAAACACTAAAAGGAGGTAGTTTTATGATCCCAAGATAATAAAATCGTAAAATAACAAAACATTATGCTAATCAGAAAATTACCAAAACATTATTGTCTCTTCATTTTTTGTAAAAGCCATCCGAAAATATTCTTTTGTAAAAGACGTTAAATACAATCTTTTGTCATCCTAGAAAGAAGTTTTTATTTTTAAAAAGATTTTAAAGGTTTTTTTAGCGTAGTTTCAGTTTGCTTTCTGTACAAAGCAAAGTTTTACATTAAAAAAGTATATATTGTTTCTGTTTTATATCTATACTGTCCAATTTTTTTTACCAAAAAATTCTTTAATCTATAAATATCGGTATTCTTAGTTTTTTATTTAAATTTTCGCTTTAGGTGCATGCAATTGTGTTTTGATATGTTTTTATAAATTTAAAAAAAATAATGAGGTGAAAAATAATTTATTAATTTTTTTAAAACATTGTGAATGGAAATTTTTATGTCATATCTTTTACGTTTCCATAGTAATAACTACGTGTCTAATGATGATCTTTAATAGTCACTAGTCAGACCTTTTACGTTTCCATAGTAATTACTGTGAGTTCAAAGAAGACCTTTAACAGTTTTTTTGAAGAAAATGTTAAACCACCCTGACTATTATATTGATTAATAGTTAATTTTTTAAATAGATGTTGATTTTTAGGTCCGTGTGTCCTAATTAAATAATTAATGGCACTTGAATGATTTTCCATTTTTAACAAGGATTTTTTTTATTAATTAAATACTATGTTCTTTTATAAATTATAAACGAGAAACAAACGTTGCTATTTATATTGTCTTAGCAACAAATAAACGGTTTTTTCCATAACTTTTACTAGCAGCGAAAAAAAATAAGGAAACAGTTTAAATTAACAGTTTACTTTAAAGAAAAAAAGTAATTTTATTCTTTGGTATTTTATTACTTTATATTCTAATATAAATATATAATAAATAAATATATAAGATTATTTATATTAATGTATAAATACATTTTAAATATATAAGATTATATAATAAATATATAAGATTATTTGTTATTTACAGATTTAATGAATTTTATTATGTAGATGTGTTATGTGAAAATAACTTTTAGATGTTATGTGATATATATTATATTAATAACTTTTTTTCAGGAATTCAAAATGAAGCCTGAACTGAGCATATACAACAACAGCCACCTAGATAGCAAAATAAAGAGCTCTATAGGTAAAACAGCTAAAGCTATTAACAATCCTTTTACCCCATATTTATCAGAAAACACAACGGTTAACACTCAGCTGCAACCAAAGTTGAAACTTATCAATGAGGATTTTCGTAATCCAAAACATTACGTTGACGAAGACCTTAACGTAAAAATAGTAAAAACTCCGAGAGGACTGCAATTGCACACCCGCTCAAAATATATCAGCCCAAGATTGTCAAATTCTGCTCCGTTAAAATTTGAACCACTCGATACAAAGGAAAGTGGAAAAAAATTGGAGGATCGATTATCTAATCTTAATTTAAAAATGAACGAGATGGATTTAGTAACTCCTCGTTCAAAAAGCCGATTTTCCGCCACTGAAGAGTATAAAAGACAACAACATCTTGTTTACAACGAATATCTTCACAACTACCATAATTATTATAACTTACATAACATGAAATACCTTTATGATGATTACGGCTCTTCAAGAGGTGGCTCTTTGGATTCATACCGTCTTCATACGGTACCTCCGGCTCTTGCAGCATACTACAGTAACAGATCCAGAGTTGAAGATGACTCTTTGTTAGGAAGTCTTGTTAATCGATCCATAAGATACGGTAATGATTTGCCATATAGATATCGTCTTCCATACAATCAAGTTATCTATCCTCCTTATTTTAGTAATGATAGTTTAAACCTAACCTCCCCTCAACAAAAAAATGGTGATCAAGTTTATGAAGAACGCAAGAAAAATAGCGAGGAAAAAACGCAAGGATCAGTTGTTGAAAGTTTAAACGATATCCAAAATGATGATTTCCTTCAACGACAAGATACAGAAGAGGAATTGCCAAGAAGCGGAAATTCCTACGCTAAACTGCGTAAAAGTTATATTAACAGGAAGTATTACGGAGATAAATCTGAAAGCCGTTACTGAAAACATTTTAAAATCTTTCTTTATGATAAAATTTGCTAAAAACGTTGTCTTTTATGCTTTGCATAACAGACAAAGTTTTAGTTTTATGCACAACTTGCACCAACCACAAAACTCTTTCTGAGCTATCGAGCAAAATAATTTAAGAAATTTCATCAAATAATTTAGCAAAGCATTTATTATATTATCATATATTATTTATAATATATTTTAAATAAAATTGAACAATTTATTACTTGTACTTTTCCAACTTATTTAATATTGTAATAGAATTTAATTATATTTAATAATTTATAAAAACTTTCATGTATTTATTTAATTTTTTTATATAACTTTAATTTAATTTGTATTAATTTCCTTCATAATTGTTTTTAAATGTTTGTAACTTGTTTTAATAAAATTACTTAAAGTGGTTTTTTTTATAACTATTACCAAATTAGTTCCTTATATTACTTTTGAAATTATTATTAACTTGGTTCGTAATGTTTTAAATCTATTTTTGATCACACACAAAATATTTTAATTATTTATATATTATTTATATATTATAATTAATATATATTATACATTATATATATTGATTATAATTATTTATTCATAATAATATATTCGTAGTTTATATATATTATTTATATATCATAATTAGTTATTTGTAATTATTTAAAAATGGTTGTAATAAGTTATAATGTTTAAAATAAACATAAATTCCTAATAATTAGGTAGTTTATGTTATTTAACTACGTTTTTAAATACATTCCACTTTCTATTTTGGAAAATTTTTAAGAGAAGCGGAACAAATCTATCTAAGGAAAACTCAGTATTAAAGTCTTTGTAAGGTGGCTTTACGAGGTACTAAACATTGTTGGCTATCAAACAAAGAAATAATGAAATAAAAACAAACAAATGTTAACTGCTTTAAATTACTTATCCAAAAACCGTTTTAATAAACAATTTTTAAATCACAAAACTATATTATACAAATTTTAGGATAAAATGATTATTATTATAGTAAAGTTTTGTAACTTGTTTTAAATGGATTTTTTTATTTTTACCTATTTTTAAATTACCACCTTAGTTCTTTATATTACTTTTTATAATTATTACCAAGTTGGTTCGTAATGTTTTAAATATATTTTTTGATCACACACAAAACGTTTTAATTATTTATATACTAAATATATATTGTAAATAATATTATATATCATATATATTAATTATAATTATTTAATTTATAACAATATATTCGTAATTTATATATATATATATATATATATATATATATATATATATATATATATATATATATATATATATATATATATATATATATATATATATATATATATATATATATATTATTTATATATTATAACTAATTATTTGTCATTATTTAAAAATAGTTGTTATAAGTAATAATGTTTCAAATAAATATAGCTTCATAAAAATTTGTAATTTATCCTAGAACCGCTCTTATTTTAAATTTATGTTAATGATTTTAATAATGGATCAGTAAAACTAAATGCAATCATGTTTGCAGACAATACAAATCTATTTTTATCCAACTAAAATATTAATTAACTATATGCTCACATGAACATTGAATTGTAAATGATTAGTTTAGGTCAAATAAACTTTTTCTTAACGATGAAAAAACACTATATACCTTGTTTCATAAATAAATACAAGACAAAAACCATTCTCTAAAACTGCCAAAACTTATTATATATTATAAACAAATTAAAAAACAAGATACTACAAAGTTTTTTGAAGTTATTGTGGATGATCATTTATCATGGCTCCCATATATAAATATATACAATCAAAATTTAGTAAAACTATTAGTATTATGTATTGAATTCACACATACATAAATTCAAAGTCTAAAGCTAATATACTTCTGCTTAATTCATTGCTACATTACTTATGCAAATATTACGTGGGCTAGTTATCAACCAACAAAACATAAAAAATTCTTTGCTTACAAAAACATGCAATTATATACAACAAAAAAAGAGGAGACCACACTAAACCTTTAATGATGGTTATGAAAATGATGAACATATAACAGATAAATATTTACCAACGCCTAAACTTAATAAAAATTACTTAATACAAATTAAGTAACTTTAATAAAAATCTAAATGAAAAGTATTTCTTAAGAATAAATCAAAGTAACACACACACATATATATATAATATATATATATGTGTTTCTTACCTTAGTCTTAGTTCTTATATTAGTCAAAAAAGAAGATATAATGTTTATGATTACATATAGTGAATAAGAATATATTAATAGTCGCTAACAGTCAAAAAAAGAAAATATTTAAACAAATCTGTCAGAAAAAAGGAAAAAAAACTATATATATATATATATATATATATATATATATATATATATATATATATATATATATATATATATATATATATATATATATATATATATATATATATATATATATATATATATATATAAATATATATATATATATATATATATATATATATATATATATATATATATATATATATATATATACTCTTGCATATATATATGTATATATACTCTTGCATATATATATATATATATATATATATATATATATATATATGTATGTATATATATATATATATATATATATATATATATATATATATATATATATATATATATATATATATATATATATATATATATATATATATATATATATATAATATATATATATATATATATATATATATATATATATATATATATATATATATATTATATATATATATATATATATATATATATATATATATATATATATATATATATATACATACATATATATATATATATATATATATATATATATATATATATATGCAAGAGTATATATACATATATATATGCAAGAGTATATATATATATATATATATATATATATATATATATATATATATATATATATTTATATATATATATATATATATATATATATATATATATATATATATATATATATATATATATATATATATATATATATATATATATATATATATATATATATATATATAGTTTTTTTTCCTTTTTTCTGACAGATTTGTTTAAATATTTTCTTTTTTTGACTGTTAGCGACTATTAATATATTCTTATTCACTATATGTAATCATAAACATTATATCTTCTTTTTTGACTAATATAAGAACTAAGACTAAGGTAAGAAACCCTCGTCACTTTTTTATTGTTATATTTTCTACTTTTTCTAAATGATAAAATGCTGTTCTGATGCTGCTGTTGCTTGCTTTAAAAGATGGGTGACAATATTTAGACTTAACAATATGTCAGATTTGAAAAGTTGAGTTAAATACATGTTTCAAAATTTCAGATTTCCCTTTTTTTCCCTTATTTTTATTTTATTCATTTTTAAATATTACTAGGAGTATATGTAAAACAAAACTAGATAAAAATAAAAGTAATATATAAGATAAAACTACTCAGCAAATCCATTGAAGTCAGAAAATCTGATAAAACAAAGTTATGAAACCATCAAAATGTAGACTAAAAAACGGTAATATTTTACTTTTAGATTAGTATATACAAAATTAAAATTAGACTACTTTTATATAAATTTTTTAAAATTACCATTTTTATATTTATTTAATTTAACTAAAAGTTATTGTATTTATTTTAAGTAATGAAGTAGAAGTTTGTGTACCAAAGGCTGGATTTTGTCTATTCCCAAACTGAAAACCTCAGACTTGTCTGAAAATGGTGAAACTGATATGATTGTATCTCTATACTAGCTCCTTGTATTAATACAAGTATATTGATTTAAATTATAAAAGTCTTTCATGTGGAAGGATTTAAAAATTAGTGACCTTTTTTTGTTATTGTACGTATGGGTACCTATAGATTGTTTTTTCAGCAAAAATTAACAAATAAATAAAATGGTAATCCCAGAACAACCTCGAGAAAAAAAAAATCTACACCAATCAAAATTCAACAATCTACCTTGTTATAGAACAAACTCTTTACGAACAGTTGGACCTAGGTGCAAACAAACTATATGACCCTAGGTACAAGACTCGCTAGGCTCATTAAAAATGTTATCTATTAAAAATCTGGATGGAGAGGAAACTTATTGAACATTGCATTTAATACTAAAGTAACAAACAATAAAAGAACTTTTAAAAAGCTTTTTTTTTAGACCATCAAAAAGCGTTTTCCGATTAAAAAATTCTCAGAGAGTGTTGCCGTAGCAACACTCTCTGAGAACCAAAAATAGAATTATGGAATAATTTTTTTTTATAGCTAATCAGCTGACTGAGAAGCATATGCGACTGAATGGTATAATTAGTTATAAGTATAAACTTAACAATTTGCAAAATGTGATTTTGGAGATATTGAATACTCTAACATTTGAAATTTCTATTAAACAGTTAAAAAATATAAAAAAAAGAAAAACATTGTATTTTTTATTAAAAAAAAATTTATTCGAGTAAATTTAATTTTGGATAATTGCAAGGCTCAAATTTTTGATGGCGCATCAATCATGATGGTAAAAAGTATCAGCTCAAATTCTTGATGAATTTCAAAGGGGAAGGAAATCTACATATTTAGTAATTTATACACTGAAAAGTATAAGAAATGATGATGACTTTTATTTGTTTTTTTAAGTGGTAAAAAAACTGCAATGTCAATCAAATCAACTAAAAAAAATCTATAGTAAACAAAAAATGCATGCAGAAATACGTTTGGCGTTAACAGAACAGTTAATGGCGAATCTATTTTAAGGAAACTTAACGCTTTTAATGTTTATAAACTAAACATAGAGTGTGATAAGACTCTCTGCCTTCTTCTTGTTTCTGTCATTTATTATAAATGGAAAAAATATTATTGTAAATAATACATATTAAACAGATAAATGATAATAATAAAAAAAAAAGTGAGCTTTATTTCCTACCCAGCAAACATTCTGTATGGGAATTTTACTCATCGTTATGCATCGGTTACTGATGGAATCATTTGTGACACCCGCTAAAAGTGGCTAGCCGATGACTAGCCACTATATCTCATGCTGGAAAGTTATAGACTGATTACTTTTAGTCGATGCCACTGATGGCCTATTAAGTAACCGACGAGCAAAACTTCAATGAATAGCTCGAAATGCCTATATATGTTCATTGGAAATCCACATTAAAAATTTTTGCTGGGTAACGACTATTTTTAAATTTTTGATGCCAAATGATTTTTGAGATATATGGAAGAAATTTCGAAATACGGTTAAAAAAGTTGGTCAATAATCCAGATTA